CTCAGCCTCAGCCTCAGCCTGCCTCAGCATCAGCCTGCCTCAGCCTCAGCCTCAGCCTGCCTCAGCCTCAGCCTCAGCCTGCTTCAGCCTCAGCCTCAGCCTCAGCCTCAGCCTGCCTCAGCCTCAGCCTGCATCAGCCTCAGCCTCAGCCTCAGCCTCAGCCTGCCTCAGCCTGCCTCAGCCTCAGCCTCAGCCTGCCTCAGCCTCAGCCTCAGCCTCAGCCTCAGCCTCAGCCTCAGCCTGCTTCAGCCTCAGCCTCAGCCTCAGCCTCAGCCTGCCTCAGCCTCAGCCTCAGCCTCAGCCTCAGCCTCAGCCTCAGCCTCAGCCTCAGCATCAGCCTCAGCCTCAGCCTCAGCCTGCCTCAGCTCAGCCTGCCTCAGCCTCAGCCTCAGCCTGCCTCAGCCTCAGCCTCAGCCTGCTTCAACCTCAGCCTCAGTCTGCCTGCAGCCTCGGCCTCAGCCTCAGCCTGCCTCAGCCTCAGCCTGCCCACGCCTCAGCATCAGCCTGCCTCAGGATTCAAAATGTGGCCCGGGAGTGAAGACTTGGGAACTCGAAGTCCCGAAGTGGCCTACAGTTGGCTCCGGGCATTCAAAATCATGCCCAGGAATGAAGTTCTGGGAACTCGAAGACCACGAAGTGGCCTACAGTTGGCTCCGGGCATTCAAAATGTGGCCCGGGAATGGAGTTCTGGGAACTCGAAGACCACGAAGTGGTCCTACAGTTGGCTCCGGGCATTCAAAATGTGGCCCGGGAATGGAGTTCTGGGAACTCGAAGACCACGAAGTGGCCTACAGTTGGCTCCGGGCATTCAGAATGTGTCCCGGGAATGGAGTTCTGGGAAGTCGAAGAGCACGAAGTGGCCTACAGTTGGCTCCGGGCATTCAAAATGTGGCGCGGGAATGGAGTTCTGGGAGGTCGCAGAGCCTCACGAGAACCCTGCGGAACCCAGCCACCGAGTCGAGTGAGAACCACAGAGAACCCCTGGGGAACCCAAACATTCAATGAAAAACTTAATTTTCAAATTCGACCACATTTTCCCCTTCTATACATCGACAAAGAGGCCCCCAAGAGAACCCTGCAGAACCCAGCCACTGAGTTGACTGAGAACCACAGAGAACCCCCGGGAGAACCCAGAAATTCAAAGAAAAACAGACTTTTCAAATTCGACAGCCTTTCCCCCTTTCCATACATAAGAAAAATACCCCCCAAGAGAACCCTGCAGAACCCAGCCACTGAGTGCACTGAGAACCACAGAGAACCCCCGGGAGAACCCAGAAATTTAAAGAAAAACATACTTTTTAATTTCGACAGCATTTCCCCCCTTCTATACATCGAAAAAGGAAAACCCCCAAGAGAACCCTGCAGAACCCAGCCACTGAGTGAACTGAGAACCACAGAGAGACCCCGCAAGAACACAGAAATTCAAAGAAAAACATAATTTTCAAATTCGACAGTATACATCGAAGAAAGAGAACCCCCAAGAGAACCCTGCAGAACCCAGCCACTGATTGCACTGAGAACCACAGAGAACCCCCGGGAGAACCCAGAAATTCAAAGAAAAACATAATTTTCAAATTCGGCAGCATTTCCCCTTTCTATACATGGAAAAAAGATAACCCCCAAGAGAACCCTGCAGAACCCAGCCACTGAGTGCACTGAGAACCACAGAGAACCCCCGGGAGAATCCAGAAATTCAAAGAAAAACCTAATTTTGAAATTCGACAGCATTTCCCCCTTCTATACATCGAAAAGAGAGAACCCCCAAGAGAACCCTGCAGAACCCAGCCACTGAGTGCACTGAGAACCACAGAGAACCCTTGGGAGAACCCAGAAATTCAAAGAAAAACACAATTTTCAAATTCGACAGCATTTCCCCCTTCTATACATGAAATACAGAAAACCCAAAAAGAACCCTGCAGAACCCAGCCGCTGAGTGCACTGAGAACCACAGAGAACCCCCGGGAGAATCCAGAAATTCAAAGAAAAACATACTTTTCAAATTCGACAGCATTTCCCCCTTCTATACATCGAAAAAGAGAACCCCCAAGAGAACCCTGCAGAACCCAGCCACTGAGTGCACTGAGAATCACAGAGAACCCCTGGAAGAACCCAGATATTCAAAGGAACACATCATTTTCAAGTTCGAAATATTTCCACAAGTCTATATATCCAAAAAAAGAACCCCCAAGAGAACCCTGCAGAACCCAGCCACTAAGTGGACTGAGAACCACAGAGAACCACTGGGGGAACCAAGAAATCCCACTAGCCCTCTAGGCGTCGGTGGTTTAGAAGGTTTCCTCTTCCACCCCTCCTTCTTCCCCTGCGGGGAGGGGTTTACCCCTCCCCCTACCCCCTCCCCACTGACATGGACAGGGGGGCCGCGTCGCGTTAAAGCGTCCAAGATCGACCCCTGGGAGGGCTAAAATGGTCCGCGTGGGACGTACCTCCGCTGGGCCTCCCAGGAGCCCACGAAAGTGGCGACAGTTGCGCAGATCGCAACAGGCACGAGATAAGAGGAGAAGGGAACACAGGAAACTTGAGAGGACGAGGGGAGGAGAGGGGAGGAGGACAAGCTAGGTGCGCTCGCGTCATATCTAACGTCCTACCCCTCCCTCCCATCCCTTACCATGGCGCTGATTTTCTCTATCCGCGGACGCGTGTCGTAGCGGACCTGTGGCTCCGCGCGCGCGTGCGTAGTGGGTGGTGGTGCACGTGCGTGCGTGCGTGCGTGTGTGCGTGGTTGTCGTGGTGGTGGTGGTGGTGGTGGTGGTGGTGGTGGTGGTGGTGGTGGTGGTGGTGGTGGTGGTGGTGCTGGTGGTGGTGGTGCTGGTGGTGGTGGTGTTGGTACTGGTGCTGGTGCTGGTGGTGGTTGTGGTGGTGGTGGTGGTGGTGGTGGTGGTGGTGGTGGTGGTGGCGGTGCGGCGCGGTGGTGGCGGGCGGATGGGCGCGCGAGAAAAAGGCCCGCGCTGGGGCGAGAACGCCATCCTGAACGACGGAGGCCAAACACCGATCCGAAAATGAGGCCCACGCTGCAGCGGGAGCACGATTCGGAACGATTCGGGAGCAGAAATGAAGCCGGCGCCTCAACGAGAACAGCATTTTGGGAAAAAATGACGCCGGCGCCTCAGCGAGAGTCGTTTCCCGGGATTTCCCGGGCATCCTGCGTGTAAAAAAACAATACGCGGAGGGTGCGCGGCCATCACCCGGACGCCATCAGGGGAAGAGGGAGAGTATTTTCATATTGAGTAATTGTGGAGGAGGAGGAGGAGGAGGAGGAGGAGGAGGAGGACGGGGCGACCACACTGCTCTATTCAAAACGAATGCCCAACCATAGGAGGGTTGGGAACAACACCATAAACTCTAGCAGCAGAGGCAACAACAACCACAAAATCATCTCGCTGGGGAATAAACGAAAACTGGGACAACAACACCGGCTACGGGAACGTGTCCCCGGATTCTGGGGACAAGTTTGTCCCCAGGCTCAACATGGCCCCGATCTCCTGGCCGCCCATCCCGAGACACTCCGATCAGTGGTACCTATGTTTGGTGCGCGCCTGCTTTCGCGAAAACACGACGCATGTGAGTCAGAGCGCGCAAATCCGATTAGACATGTGTCTTCCTTTCCATGTGGAAGTCACCCGAACACATGAACACCCACGTGGATATGATACTCGTCAGCAAAACAGAACAACTGAACTTAACATTCAAGGTGCATCATCACTGACAAACAGGTTGGTGATTAAAAACGGCTTATACACGTGGGGTATTCGTTGTACTTGATTAAGATACCCAGCAATGTACATGAAACCTGCGTCGACTTGAAGATGCTGGGCATGTGGGCAAGGCCTAACAAGAAGGTACGAGGATCCGATGCAACGTGCGGGATGCTCAAAGTCACCCGCGAGAGCTGACAAAACACCGAAGCCCGATGCTCTCCGTGACCACACACCGAAACTCCGACGGAATGAAGCGGAAACCTCATGTCAGAGACAATCACACGAGCGAGTTCCTGCGGATGGCACCCTGTGGGTGGGAGCTGTGGGCGGGGCCTCACCTGCGCGGCCCTGCTGCCTCCGCCCGCGCGTGGCCCCTGGGGGCCAGCTTCGTCCGAAATGGCCCGAGCTCACGAGGAGGAGGAGGAGGAGGAGGAGGAGGAGGAGGGCCTCACATGCGCGGCCTGCTGCGTGCGCCCCGAAGTGCGCCGCCGCTCCCTTTGACCGGCCCCGCCCTGCCTCGTCGCTGTCGCCCCCCTCCTCTCCCCTCCTCCGCCTTCAGCTGGCCCTCCTGCTCCTCCCGGTCCTTGCGCTCCAGTTCCCGCGGCTGCTGTTCGTCGTCGTCGTCCTCCTCCTCCTCCTCCTCCTTTTCACCCTGCTGAGCTCCCCACTTCCGATTGCGCATGACACGATGGGTTCTTGGTGGGATTCCCAGGTCCGCGATGACACACCCACGGATAGAGAAAAAAACGAGCAACGGGAGGGGAGGGTGGGAGGTGGAGGATGACAGATATGGCGTGCGTGCACCTAGCTTGCCCCCCCCTCTCTCCCCCTGGGGCTGCCCTGGCCCGCAACAAGTCATGGTGGGCTTCCTTTCAGACAGACATGCCGATCTGGCTTCTCCCGCCGCCCCAACGATCCCGTTTGAGATGTCCAGAACTACCAGCCTCGAACGTATCCCTGTCCCTAAGATTGACACGCCAAAAGGCGATGACAATCTTAGGGATGCGCCCTCAAAAAATAAGGGAACCCCTAAGATTGGCACTGTGATGAGGCGATGCCCAGCATAGGGATATATAGAGATATGTTCCAGGCTGGTAAGATCCGGCCTCTCCCGCCACCCCCACGATCCCGCTTGAGATGTCCAGGAGATCTGAGGTCCTCGGGGGGTCTGCGAAAGCCTCCCGGCTCCACGGCAGAGGCGCCTGCCGCCCAGAAGCTCAGATCCCTCCGCGCGGCCCCCCCCTTCCCTCCCCGTGCGCGATCGGAAGGGGCACCCGGGAGCGCCTGGAGTTGACCGCGTGGCAGGTGAGCTCGCGCACGGTGTCCCTGTACGGGACGGAGTTGGCGTGCTCCAGGAAGAGCAGGCACTGGCCGCCCTCCCCGGTTCCGTAGGCCTGGTCCAGGGGAAGGGGAAGAAGGAGAGGAGGGAGGAGAGAGGAGCAAGGAGAGAGGACAAGTGAGGCGCGCTCGCATCATACTTGACATCATACCCGCCCCTCCCATCCCTCACCGCTGCGTAGAGCCCCTCCTCTGTTAGTACGGTAGGATGTGGAAGAGGACATCGATTTCCTCAGGGCACGAGATGCATCGCATGGCATAGCATTTCGTCAGCAAGCGTTGCATATCATAACATTGCAGCGCAGAGAATGGCATCGCATAGCGGTACGTAGCATAGCATTGCACGGCATACAATTGCATGGCATGGCCCTGCGTAGAGCAAGGCATGTAGTCGTAGCATAGTCTTACGTCGAACACCATTGTATTGCGTACCATGGCTGCGTGAACCGTGCAGCCAGAAAACCATGCTGGAGGACCGAACATTTAAAAGTGAGGCTGGTGCTGCAGCGAGGGCACCAATTCGGAAGGCCTGAAAACGCGGAAATAAAGCTAAAACTGCAGCGGGAACACCATTCGGAAGGACCGAAAACGCGGAACTGAGACCATCGCTGCAGCGGAAGCACCATTTGGAAGAACCAGAAACGCCGAAATGAGGCCAGCGATGCACGGGAAGCGCACTTTTGAAGGATCCGAACTGATCGGATTTAGGAAAACAAATAAGAAGCAACGACTCGCCGACATTATGTAAAGAACAATGCGCGGATGGGGGGTGCATATACTCTAAGCACAGATTCGGACAAGCGAGAACAGCATTCATAATGGTACCACTGTGGAGGAGTACGACGGGGAGAGGAAGGAGGAGGAGGACCGGGAGGACGGGGATGATGAGGAGGAGGAGGAGAAGGACCACCACGAAGACCAGAGCAGACTCAAGATGTGTCAATGCTGCTGGGACACACCCTCCCGTCCCAAGCACCATCCTCATACATCCTTGCAAGCATGTCTTTTCCCCTGTAGGAATTGCTCTCATGCGTAACCAGAAATGCGAAAAAAGGTAGGGACATAACGTTCAAGGACCCCAAGACGTTTCCATCGTTAACTTCGTTTTGATAACGAAGCACTCTCCATCCGTGAAACTGTTCTCAAGTGTCAACGTCGAGCCATAAAGCGGGATGAAGTCAACCTATAACCACATGTTGATAAGGAACCGCCCTGGAGGAGAAGGTAGAACAGGGACAATATAAGGAGGGAAGAGCCAGAAAACGAACATAACATTGAGGATGAGGAAGAGGAGGGTGATGATGATGAGGCGGATGTGGGTGGGATAGGGCGGATGGGGGGTAGGTGGAGGAGGAGATATGTATTATAAAGATAATGGAGTGGACGAAAACGAGAAACATAAGGGGGAGAAAAACACTGAAGACCACAAGGCGCAGAGAAACGGAAGAGGAGGACGAGAGGGATGAGGATGAGGAGGAAGAGAGAGCAGGATAATAAAGAGGAGACGGGAGATAGATGGAGGGTAAGGTGGAAGGTTGAGGACAAGGATGAGGATGAGGATGATGAGGATGGTAGTCACAATAATAAGGTTAATCCTACCAATACTGATGATGACGACGATGATGATGCCACTGATGCCGATTATGTTTATGATTATGATGGTGATTCTGATGATTAGGATAAGGATGCTTCTGATGATGATGACTATGACTATGATGATGATGATGATGATGATGATGATGATGATGATGATGATGATGATGATGATGATGATACTGGTGATGATGATACCGATGGTGGTAAGTATGATGATGATGCTACTGATGCTGATGCTGATGCTGATGATGCTGCCGATGCTGCTGCTGCTGATGATGCTGGTGATGATGATTATGATGATGATAATGATGCTGAGGGTGATGATGATGAGTGGTGATGATGAGTGGTGATGATGATGATGCTGCTGCTGCTGCTGATGATGATGATGATGATGATGATGATGATGATGATGATGATGATAATGACGAGGCTGCCGGTACTGCTGCTGATGGTGCTGATGGTAGGAATGCGTCGGAGGAGAAGCGATAAGGACAAGGACGAGGAGGGAAAGAGGGAGGATTTTGGAGCGGTGAGCAGGGGAGGAGGAACAAGGAGGAGGACGAGGAAGATGGGAGAGGAGTTGAGGCCAGATGCTTCCTCACCCTCGTCGTGCCCCGCGTGCCTTCTGCGGGAAGTGCCTGGGATTGGTGTGGCACTTGACGTGGCCGTCGCAGGGATCCAGTTCCTCCTGATCCTCAGTGAGGGCAGGGAAAGATGACGGATGAGGAGGAGGAGGAGGAACATCTAACATCAACCTGGGGGGAGAAATAGACCAATGAGACGGAGGACAGGAGGAAGGGGAACGTCAGGAATGCGAGGCCTCCAGAGACCTGTGGGGACCTCCAGATACCTGTGAGGGGGGGGGGGACAAGGGCGGTGCAACTTTCGGTTTGCGTTTGGTGGCGGGTCGGATCCGCTGTTTACCTGACGACCTCGATCGATGTGCAGTTATATAGTATGCCAATGCTATCGGTCTCACTCCATACCAGTCGGTCCCATGAACAGCATATCAATCGGTCTCCCTGTCGATCGGCCCTATGCACATATATATATATATATGTATATAGATATATATATATATACATGTGTACACGTACAGTTGTACACATGTGTATGCAATTCTAAATCTATGTTCGCAGGTGTGGTGACCGTGCGCCAAATATGTTTGCCAGCGCGGGCCCCAGTGAGATTTTGCACACTGATTTGTGCCAGCTGTGCGGTGAACGCTATGTGGTGCAAACTATGTGGTGCAACGTGTGAGGTGCAAGCAGTGTGGCGCAAGCACTGTGGTGCAGGATGTGTGGCGGTGTAGCCTGCGTAGTGCAGGCTACGCGGCGCAAGCTCTGTGGTGCAAGCTGTGCGGTGCAAAGCTACCTGGTGTAGCTCTGTGGTGTAACATGTGTGGTGCAAGCTGTGTTTCAAAAGCCATGCCGTGCAGTCTGCGCGGCCGCCCAGCGCGCGAGGCGCCCACGTGGCGCCCAGGCGGAACCTCGGCACGCCCACCCAGCGCCCACACACACACACATACACACACACACGCACACACACACACACACAACGCGAGGTGCCCACGGGGTGCCCACGGGCGCACACCAACCAGACACCAGCCGAACACCAAGCGCACTTACCTCGAGTATTTCTATCTACTTTGAAGCACTATCTAAATGTCTGTCTCTGTAGACGAGGCAACCAGGTAACCACGCGACAGCCATGGACAACCACGGGACAACCACGGGACAACCACGGGACAATCACAAGACAATCACAGGACAACCACGGGACAACCACGGGACAACCACGGAACAACCACGGACCAACAACGGGACAACTAATGACCTGGTTGTGCCACTCACTATACTACCATCCTACCAGTAACACTCGCATAGTAGACATCGAGCTACTGGTCCATCGATCTCAAACTGCACTTATCGATCTCACGATCAATCGACCTACCAGACAAGATTTACAGGTGGCATTATCCATTTATCAACTGCTCATGCATATGTACACATGGACCGATCCCACTGTCTATCTGCCGGGACACGATCTATCAGTCTGCAGACGTGGCAACCACAAGAGAAAAGCGGGAAAGCCAAAGAACAACCACGGGACATCCACGGACAACCACGGGACAACCACGGGACATCCGCGGGACGAACAAAAAACAACCACGGGACAACCACGGGACAACACAACCACGGAGCAACCGCTGGACAACCCCGGACACACCACAAAACAATCACGGGACAACCACTGGATAATCCGTGGCACGCCTCAACTAGCGCCACTCTTTTTGGCTCGGCCTGGGCTTAGTTAGTCAGGGCAGGATAACTCTCGCCCTCGTGCAGCTTCGCCTGGCCCGCACGCATGACACGACGCGTAACCGAAGCCGACTTCCTGGTAGGGGCCTTCGTTTCACTTCGGTCTCACCTCCCAACCTCCAACAAGAAATCATCTGCATCCCTGCGATGCCCCGTGCACGCAATAAATATGTAAATGCAGAATTTCTCATGAACCGAATAGTTCACATGTTTCTTCCTCTGACACATATGTGTTAACAGTGTCTGAATGTTCGGTTACGCATCGGGTCTGCAGCATTATTTTCGCAACGCTCAGTGTATATTCAACGTATGTTTATCAATACATGTGTATATCCAGACTTACATCTACATACATGTGCATATATGCATATATATATACACAGGTATATACATATATGAGACGGTGTATTGGTATGTGTGTGTGTGTGGGTTCGCTTGGATGTTTGAGTAGGTGTCTGGATGTGTGCCTTTGCACCAAGGTGTGCAGTCAGTTAGTTGACTCGTGGCCCTCTTGGACCTTCTTTGGGCACCCTAAACTGTGCAGAGTCCTTAAGAGGGCTCCTGTAGGGGGTATCTCCTCACAGCCCAGAGATCCCCGATGGCTTCTTGAGGGTTCCTTGGGTTTCCTGTCCGTTTCCTTCGGCTCCAGCGCGTGCATCATCTTCTCGCGCCTACGTTGACCTTCTGGCGCGTTTGCTTGAATTTGGTTCACAGGCTCAGCACGCACCCGAACATCGAGTGTGTAATTTCTCGACTGGATGTTTAGGCACTTGAGATACTGTGCTTCTGATTTGCACCTGACGACATTCACAACGCGATACAACTAGTGTGTCCGACACGTTCTTAGCATTAGCACTTACGATGGCATTCCTTAAGTTGTCTGTTGCTAGTTTCCCCTGTGGGAGTCACACGAAGAGAGGGCAGTGTCGCATCGGCGTGCTCCGTTCCAAACATGTTTTTGCCTCGTCGCAACAGACACAAACAACACAACACCATCTCACGTACTGTCAAACCGGATCAGAAGGACACGCTGTAAGGACGCACGGGTCGTGGACGCCCATGTTGAACCTTCTGAGCAGCACCGTACGGGCCGAAAAGGCTAAGTAACGGCCGAAGTGGCAAGGATGCGACGGTACCCTTGGAAAGCTACTTGTGACTAGGATGGGAAGAGGGAGGAGAAGGAGGATGGGAGGAGGGGGACTACTACGGGACTACCTTGCGAAGTATATCAATGCTGCATAGAGCGCCCTCTCAAGTGCCAACGGGGAGCAGGGAGAAGGATGAGGAGGGGGGGAGGAGGAAAAAGGTCTCTGGCCCTAACTCATGCTGGGACGATGGCGACGACAGGCGGCGTACCCCTCGCTCTTCCAGAGGCCTCTGAAAGACCTCAGCGGCAGCAAAACGGATCAGAATGCCCAACGACACTCCTCCTCTTCCTCCTCCTTCTCCTCCTCCTCCTCCTCCTCCTCCTCCGCCTTCGTCTTCTCCCTCCTCTGACCTCCTCAATTATCGTGGGCGGCCTGGATCCCACCAATCCCTCGTCCTCGACGTGCCCCTCCGACTCCACGACGACAACGACGACGGTGCGCCGCCCCGGAAGCCCCCGGACCGAGGCCTCCGGAGGCCCCAGGAGGGCCAGAAGCGCCCATGAACCTGGACGCTCGAACAAGAAAAACAGCAGGAGAAGTGAGAGGAGAGGGGAGACGGGTGCGGATTTTGATGGGTGCTGATGAGGTAGTATGGGTACGGTGGGGGGGGATGGGGAGAAGGGAGGAAGACGGAGAAAAGAGGAAGGAAAGTACTAAAAGGAAGATAGAAGAGGAAGAATACTGACATACCAAGACCTACGCCTAACAATAACCACTGCATACTCCTCCTGAAGTACAAAGAAAACGACGAAGCCTCTCCTCCTCCTCCTCCTCCTCCTCCTCCTCCTCCTCCTGCTGGCCCCTCTGAGCCTTAAGGCGGCCTGCGGAGGGCCCCCGGGCTGCGGAGGGGAGGGGCGCGCCGCCGGCGCCGCCGCCCGCCGAGGCCGCCGAGGAGCCCCCCCCCCTCGACGTCTGGCGGCGAGCGAGGAGGGGAAGCGAGGAGGAGGAGGCGAGCGGGGGGGGGGGAAGGAGGAGGGGGAAGTTTCGGGCTCGAGGTTCGAAGTCTGCGGGCGTTTGCGTCGGTCCGCGGCGGTATTAAACAGCCTCGTGGTGCGTTCCAGCGATTGCACCGGGCCGAAAGCGTTCCGGGGGTGCCCGGATCGGCCCCAACTGCCATGGGAGAGCCGAGTTATGACCCAAAAACCACCTGGCGTCCGAATGGAAGACGGAGAAGGCCTTCGCAGGAGGCGGCGGGGCTTCTCAGAAACCCTCGCGCCTTCCGAGAAGTTTCCCGTGCCTTCGGGGAAGGTTCCGGAAGCTTATCAGAAGGCCACAGGGCCCCCGAGCCTTCTGAGAAGGCCCGCCCCCCCCTCGCTTCCCCCCCAGACTGGCCGCCGGGAAGTCCTCCTCGTCGGCAGCCGATAGGCATAGGGGGGATAGGCATAGGGGCAACGATAGGGGGGGATAGGCATAGGGGGGGATGCATCGACCTGGAATCAGCGATGCATCGTCGATAGATCGGCGATAGGCCTCCGACAGCGAATCCGCACCTTCCTGGGCAGGCGGGCGCCATCGGGCCCCTCTCGACGATCCATGGGCGATCGGGGGGGCCGATGCATCCTCCCCCCCCTATGCCTATCCCCCCCCTATCGCTGCCCCGATGCCTATCCTATGCCTGTCCCCCCCCCCCCTAAGGCCTTTCCCCCCTGTGCTGGCTCTCCCCCCCCCCCCCTCCCCCCTATTCCGTACCCGTCAAACGCATCCACCGCCGCATTCCACCCCCGCTCGTTGCCTAACTAAAATCCCCCCCCACCCCCCCTTCTCGTTTGCCCCTGAGCTTCCCCCCTCCCCACGCTCCGTTGTATCGTCGCCCCTATCCCCCCCCCCCTTATCGCGCCAGGGAGCTTCCCCCCCCCCCCGCCTCCCCCACAACCGCCCCCCTTAAGTTCCGCGTCGCCCCCATCCCCCCCCTGTCGTTTTTTTCGTTTAGTTTTTTTGGCCCCTGAGCTTCCCCCCTCTACCCCCCCCTCTTTTATTCGTTCCGCCCCTCGCCCCATCCCACCCACACCCCCCCCCACCCCCCCCCTTCTCGATTGCCGCCAAAGCTGCCCCCCCACCCGCCGGGATCCCCCCACCGAGGGACACGTCCCTTCCTCGTTCGCTGGCCGACCCGCAGGCGCTGCCCATCGCGGCTCGGAGCGCGCGTGCCCGCGGCGCGGGCGGCCCCGGCAGGCGGCCCGCGGCGGGCGGCCGCGGGCGGATCGGGCCTCGGGCTAAGGGAACCTGCCGCAAGCGGCCTCCCGACTCCTACTCCTTCCTCCTTCCTTCCTCCCTACTCCTCTCATCCTCCTCCTCCTCTCCTCCTCCCTCCTCCTCCTCCCTTCCTCCGCCTCCCCCCTCCCTCCCTCCCTCCACCTCCCTACCTCCACTCCTCCTCCTCCTCCCCCTCCTCCTCCTCCTCCTCCTCCTCCTCTTACTTCTCCTCATCATCCTCATCCTCCTCCTACCCTCCCTCCTCTCCTCTCTCCTCCTCCTCCTCCTCCTCCTCCTCGGCGGGGCAGGGGCCCCGGGGAGCCTTGGCGCCGCGGCTCTCTCGTTAGGGGGCCACATGCGAAGCCTGCCCCTATACCCCCCACGGTTTCTGAGGGGGCAGGGTGGGGTTCACTTCGTTCGGGGGGTCACGGGCGAAGTGAGCCCCACCCTCCCCCTCAGAAATCGTGGGGGGTAGGGGTAGGGTTCGCTTGTGGCCCCCTACTCGTTCACGCTGGGCGCCGCCGCCCAAGCTGGAGCCCCGGGGCCGAGGGGGAGCGTCACGAGTCTGGGCGCCCGCTTTTTTGGGGGGAGGGGGGGGGGGTCTTTTTGGCGTGTATACGCGCACTAGTTTATAAGCTTATTTTGTTTTGACTCGAAAACACGCCGCAAAAACAACAATGGGTACGGAAAGAAGGGGTGCAATGCCCAGCAGCACACGTTGTCCCAAACCAGCAGTGGCCGCTGCTGGGCAGGCGCCCCTCTGTCTCGAATGGGCACAGGCCGCGGCGGCGCGGACAGCGAGTCCTGCTCAGAATGAACCAGTGAAGGGGAACTGGGACACACAAATAAATATACACAAATTACCAGATTCCCCCTACTTTCCTATATTTTCTGGGTCTCTGTGTTCCCCCCCACTTCCCATATTTTCCATATTTTCTGGGGAATCGACGATTACTTGTGTCTGTGTGTTTTTCTCCCCTCCTGAACCAGATCCGCTGTTGGGCACCGCAGCTTTTCTCACGCCGGGCGCCTCCGCCCAAGCTGGAGCCCCGGGGCCGAGGGGGGGGCGTCACGAGGGGGGGAGCAGCTGGGAGTAGCTGAAGGCGGACCACTGTGCTCGGCCCCTTCGGGGCCGACAACCACAGGGGGTCAAACCTCCCCTTCCTGATCCTCAGCCTCTTCCTCTCGAGGGCGTCTCGAGGGCGTCACGAGGGGGGGCGGGGGCGGGCGCCACGGGGGGGAGCCTCGACCTGGGAGCGGCGGCGCAGGGGCGGCAGGCCCCCGGGCAGCGGGGCCGAGCCTTCCTGCGCGGGGCGGGCCACGAGGCCCCCCGTCGGCGAAGAAAGTGGCGATGGGGTGTCGGCGCGCCCCGCCCCCCCGCTGAGCCTACAGTCGGGGCGTTGACCTAAGGAACCCTAAATAAGGAACGGAGCCCCTGTTTTCCATGAGTTAACCTCCGATTTCCGGTCGAAAACATAAAGGAAACCTGAGGCAAGCTGTGAAACACTCAAGGAACGCGGAGCCCCTCCCCAACGAAAAGGTTTCCTTCTTCAGGGCCCCGATTGTATGCCCCCCCCTAACATTAAGTCGGGCCTGTCCCCCTACAGGGGAATTTGGGACGAGAAAGTAAACATAGTATAAAAAAGGCTCAAAAAGGGTCAACACATCGTCCCCAGAGCATTTTTTGACTACTTTTGAATGTACCTCCTGTAGAGGGACAGGCCCGACTTGGGCCTCACACTGCGTCTGCGAGGCCCTGACGGGCCGATCCGGCTTCGAGGGGGACTGGAGGAGGTCAGGGGCTGGGGCTGCCGTCGCGATTTCTCACGGCCGTGCAGCTTGTTCGCGGCGTCGACTCACAGAAGGCCCTGAGATCCGACGCTGCGCAGACATCGAAACATCGCCACCAATCACGACCGGAACCCTAGACCCCATCTTTCTGCGCCATTTTGGGAGCCGGTTCGGTCTGTGAGGGTCCCGGGGCCCGAAGCCCAGCGAAACCGCCCGCACAAGAAAAATTGCAACGCCAAGATTTGAGGGGCCGATAAGGTCCCGGCTGGCCGACGCTGGCCTCGAAGTCCGTCTCGCGGCATGCCGCTCGCGGTGGCCCAGGGGGGGCCGGGCCCCTCGCGCAGCACGCGGCTGCATTGGGCTGGGCCCGTCGCCCAGAGCGAGCTGGCGGCGGTGCGTCACTGACTGCCTGCCAGGTCACCCCAACGCAACCCGAAGCCCCGAATTTCGGTTTGAGGGGGTACACGGGTTCCACGTGTGCTTTTCCCGTGCTCCCCGAACACCCCCCCTACTGGAAGTGGAGCACACATCGGGGCCTTCGGGTTGGGTTGGGGCGGCTCGGTGGGCGGTGAGTCACTAGCACCGTGCCCATCAGAAATACATGTAGGGGCGATCACAGAACGCGAACACTATGTGGGGGGGAGGTGGGGAGGGACGGCGGTCCTGCATCGTGATGCGGCGAGACCCCCTACCGTTAAGGAGGGAGAGGAGGAGCTAAGCGGGTACGTTCGTACGCGACGAGGGTGAGACTCGAGGGGGATACACGTGCTGAACAAAACGCGGGCCACGACGAACCATATTAAAATGAGCTCTCACTCGGGGTCCGCCCACCCGAACCGCCTCTTAGGGTTCGTTGGGTCGATTGCTTGGAAGCCCGCCCGCCCGCTGTAATATTCTGCCTGCCCGACCCGGTCGCTGGGGTCCGCCCGCCAGGCCCGCCCGTTGGGACCCACCCGCCGGACCCGCCCGTAAAAATCTGCCCGCCGGACCCGCCCGTTAAGATCCATTCTAGACCCGCCCGTTAGGGTCCGCCGGGTCGACTGCACGAAAGCCGCACACCCCCCGCTTCAATGTCCCACCTGAACGACCCGTCCGTTAGAGTCCGCCCGCCTGGCCCGCTTGTCTGACCCTGTCGGGGTTTGCCCATGAGCTGGCAGAGAAAAAAGCTCCCCCCCACATTGGCACACGTTCATAAACGAGGGGACGATCATCGATGATTTGGGGTGCAAATGTTCATTGACACGCGGGCAATGGAGAACACACAATATGAAGTGGATTGATGCTGTTGGACTCTCACTTCTGAAAATGTTGCGGGCCACCATGACGGGTGCTCATTGATTTTTTGCAATTGGAATCCTCCCCCTGGCGCTCGCATCCGGTTTCTGATGATGGAAAATCTTGAGCCACAAGCAGCGCCCCTGGGCCCCCGTCTACAACAACAACGGTTCCCGCCTGACGCTACTTCCTCACATATGTTTTCAAGCATGGCGTTCTCGCTCGAGACCTCCTCGCAACTTCCTCAATAATCACGCTCTTGCCCGGGACTTCCATTTCATTTGTTTATGAATCGCGATCTCGCTGCTCAGAAACCGTTGGTTGCACGCCAGACTCGGCGAGCTGTTCGAGGAGGTAATCGCCGCATGGACGGGCCAACGCGCCTCCTTCGATCAAAACGAATGGGATACATGGTGAGAACGATTGGGCTGAGCGGCTTCGTGCAGGGATAAGGGATAGTGCATCAGCGAAAATGAGGTCAGTGCGAAATTGAAAGGCGTCAAAGCGACGGATGCCGACGCAGAGTGCGAGGCAGCGGGCAGACCCTAGCCGCCGACCCCTGCGCTGGGAATGCAGGTGCGCTGAGGAACAAGGAGCGACCAACCACAGGGTGACCACAGCAGGACCATGCGAATGTTTACTCCAGTTTTCGTAATAAAGGGAGGGGGGTCTCATTTCGGGGGGGGGTCTCTTCCAGGCTATCTTGGAGGGCCTGGGGGGTCTGGGGACGATGTTTTGGAGGGTTCTCCCACGGGGGAGGTCTGAAATGGCTTGTCTTGGAGGGTCCAGACCCCCTCCCTTTTATTACGAAATCTGCAGTAGATGATGTGCCACTCTAGCCGCTGTGAAGTAGCCCTGGACTCTGCCAGACTGATCGATCTCACCCTCCTTCTCCTCCTCCTGCGCTCCCTCCTCCTCTCCACGCCCTCCTCCTCCGAAGGTGAGGAGGATAGCTCAGGCGAAGCAACGGGTAGCATGGACAGGGGAAGAGAAGGAGGAGGAGCAGGAGGACGACGACGAGGCGGAGGAGGAGGAGGAGGAACAGGACCAGAGAAAGCCCGATGTACATCAACGATGCCGCAACAAGCGATTATGTCCCAAATCCCCTCCTCATAAGTCCCTCCAAGTGCTGCCATTTCGCTACAAGACGAACCCTCTTGAAAGACCCGCACCCGAATGGCTTGCCATCCAGGTAGTAGTTCCACTCTGGGAAGGAACCGTCACGCATCCTTGCAGCCAGCAACAGGAATTGCGAACAAATAGGGTCATACAATTTAACGAGGCGTCCCGCGAAATTCCTTTTCTGACGAACAGGGGCCGCCCCAATGTGTATAGCTGTTGCACAAGTTTACATTCACAGCCATGGCCTTCGACGCAGCCTCAAGCGAGAACCGCAGCTTGAAAATGAGCGGCCACACCTACGTGCACCTGTTACGTACATGCACGTCTCTACTTTAGCAGGAAGTCCCCAGCGACGGCCCCTCTTAGGAGGAAACAAGGGCCACACCCATCGCCTGTCACTGTTGCAAGCTTTTAAAGCACATGTGCTACTAATTGAAGCGAGAACCACATGTTGAAACAGAGCCGCCCCTCACCATCGGAGCTGTTGCGAACTTTGGACCCAATTGTGCGTGGTGCTAAGGCGAGGGTTGCATGTTGAAAACTACCCCTTTCCATCCATGTAACTGCCGCTGCTAAAAAACACATGTACCCGGCACAACGGCGAGAGTTCACGTTTGAACCCGACCCCTACTCCATCATCAGTGACGGTTGCAAGCTTTTAAGAGGAATAGGTGCGGCGATAAGGAGAGTTACGCATTTTGAAAAAAAAACCTGTCAAGCGTCAGGCTCATAGTGTGTGCGACCATCCCAGGACAGGGCATAGGATGCGGAGGAGGAGGAAGAGGAGGACGAGGAGGGAGGGGGTCCAAAGGAGGAGGAGGAGGAAGCGGAAGAGGAGAAGGCGGAGGGGGAGGGGGAGGAGGAGGAGGAGGAGGAGGAGGAGGAGGAGGAGGGAATGACGCCCACTTCCCACTTCCACCCACCTCCTCTTCTCTCCCCTCGCCCCTTGACAGAGCCTCAGACAAATACAAACTAAGCGCGGAACGCATCCTCCACCTCAGACTCCCTCCCGCCCTCCTCCGCCTCCCCCTCGTCCTCCCCCTCCTCCTTCTGCCTCCCCGCCACCCTCCTAAACCAGCAGAACTTCGTGAATCTCCCGATGCCCGACAACTTCGTTCCCGTCACCTCCCCCCTCGATTATCCTCCGTCCCTTCCTCCTCCTCCTCCTCCTCCTCCTCCTCCTCCGCCTCCTCCGCCCCTCCTCCGAGCCCTTCTGGCTCCAGCCAATTTGGAGGAGCTTGTCGGCAGCGAACTTCAGAAGGGCGTTGCTGTCGCGAGTCACTTTGGCTCGGCCCGTCTCGGCGCGAGCGCATGGCCCCCGCGCCCTGGCAGAGCCGCCCAGCACCCCACCGTCATGCCAAGTGGAGGTGCGGTTCCTGTGGATGTGCGCGCAACCTTGGCTGGATGTGGCAGTGCAAGCACTGCAAAGCTCAATGGAACGGCGCCACATGTTCGGAGGTCGACCCGCTGCGCCCCGCAGTTCAAGACGGTGTTGGCGCTCGTCATCACTACGCTGGTGACCCTCGCGGCGCTCCGCTTCCTCCAGGTCCCGTCGGCGGAGGTGGTGGAGCGTGCTCTGATGGCACCAACACCAAGGGCCTCAGCGCGGAGGACCTGCAGCAGCTTGCCGCCATCGCCACACGCCAAGGGCAACTGGAGCTGGCCAAGCAGTACGACTCTGCTCGGGCGAAGCTTCTCCAGCCATCTCGCCAGCAGGATGCCTCGCTCCACACCCGTGCTTCGCAGACCCAGAGCAAGATACGGCAGGTGGAGAAGAAGCTCGAAAAGGAGATCTTGGAGCTGGAGCGCTGGCGTGAGGCGACCATCATGCTCGAGTCCACCATCCAGGAGATGGCCGACGAGCTGGATGGCTTCGAGAGGCAGTATTCGGAGCTCGTCGAGCAGATCAGTTTGGAGGTGGCCTCGCCGGTGCAGCCCAAGCAGTCTTCTGGCCCGACCATCAGCCTGCGCGACCTGGTGGAGGGCAAGGAGCTCAGCTTCGAGCTCGTCGACGACCTGCGCGCGAACATGCCAGAGGAGTTCGAGATGTCCGCGGAGGACAAGGAGCAGCTGGAGGCGCGCAAGGCTCAGCTGCGCTCGGGCCTCAAGGACATGGCGAAGCAGCTCTTCGGCAAGGCTTCGTCGCACCTGGAGGCCGCTCGCCGTGAGCATCAGGAGCATCTCAAGAGGCTGTCCACGAAGAAGAGGAGGACCGCTGAGGGCGACACACCTGGTGGCGGCGAAGGTGCTGGAGAACCTGGCCAAGGAGCTGGTGCTGCAGCGCCAGGCGGCGCTGAGCGGGCGACTTCTGAGGCTGGCGGTGGAGCCCCAGCCGCCTCACCTGGAGGCGCTTCGAGCTCGTCGCGGCCTTCGGGGGCCGACCCTGCTCCCTGCGCCAGGCTCTCAAAGGTACTCTCAACTTCTGACTCTTCTTTTCGCCCCCCCGCCCCCAACGGTGGTGGGGGCGGGGGTAGTGGCTGCTGAAGGTGAGGGGCCTATCCCCTCGAGCTCCTGTGTCGGCTCCCCGCCTGACGCGTCTCCTGCCCCGCGTGAGTGTAGTTTTTGTCGGATTGGGGAAGGGTGGGAGTCCAATTTTGATGGAGCCAACTTTAGTTCTAGCTATAGTCATCATCTCTCGGGCGCAGGAGTCCCAAGCCCAGGGTCCAGGCCAGCCGAAGACACTCTCGGAATGGCTATCGCCACGCCTAACTGCAACAGCTGGGGCTCGCTTCGCGATTGGCTTCCGTCGGCGGAGACCCCCCGCGTCATCTTAGTGCAGGAGCACCATTTGGCTGATCAAGATTCGATTGGTCGTGCTTCGAAGTTTTGTCTCGATCATGGGTGGAAGAGCCTTTGGGAGCCTGCAGTCCGGACGGCTGAAGGAGGCACGTCGGGAGGCGTAGCGACCCTTGCCAGGGCCTTCATGGGGCTCCGCCAACCCCTGCAGATCTTCCACGGCCGTGCTCTGGGTGCGGTTGCCCATCTGCCAGGGGGTGTTCAGTTTGGGCTCGTCTCTGTCTACGGGTTCGACACGGAGGGCCTCACGGCCAGGCAGTTGGAGCTCTATAAGGCTATAGGCTCCCACGTGGCTCTCGAAGGCCTCTCGTACGTCGTTGGGGGCGACTTCAACCTCGAGCCCCCTGAGCTGCGAGATGCGGGTTTTCTGGAGCTGGCTAGATGCGAACTTACCTCGAATGGTGCGCCCACATGTTTCGGCGCTCGCCAGTCGGACTACGATTACCTCCTCGTTTCTGGAGGCTTGGCCAGAGGTGTGAAGCAAGTGCAGCGATGCGGCGATAGTGAGTTCTCGCCGCACTTCGTGGTGGAGCTGGAGTTCTACCCTGCCCTCTGCCGCCTGCAGGCCCTGGGTTTCCGCAAGCCCCCCCCCCCTCTCCCCGTGGACGCCCCTGCGGGCGTTGCCCCCCCCCCCCCCCAGGTGACTTCGGAAGGGCCCGCAGGTTCCTCGAGCGGGGTGAGAAAGCCTCGAGGTCCCAGGATGCCAGTGAGGTCCAGCGTCTTCTGAGCAAGGCCTATCAGATTTGGGCCAACGAGACAGAGGGAGAGCTTTGTCAGAGGCTGGAGGAGGAGCTCCCCTGCCGTGGTTCGAGGGGCAAGGACCCCCAGGTTTGTTGGAAGCCGATCATTCAGAAACATGTCAAAGCTAGGCGGTACCCGGAGCTTCGTGCCATGAGGTGGTTTTGTTCTAGGTTCCGTGCTGCTGCCCAGCTTTCCTGCGGTCTGGGCTGGTCAAGCCTCGACCTTCACCAGGCGCACCGTTGGCGAGCTGCTGACGGGCGTGCTCCAGTCCGAGTGGGTCCCTGGTCAGCTGACCCACCAGGACAACATTTCTCTGTTGCAAGACATCAGGGACTCGCTCAAGGACTGGGATTGTTTTAACCCTCCTCCCCGCGTTGAGCTGGATGCTATTTTGAAGAACTTGGTCTCAGGACGCGCCTCCCCCGCCCCTTGCGCGGGCGAGGGTCGGGGTGGCTCCTCGCATGTTGCCGGGGACCCTGCTCTGAGCGAAGCGGAGCGGCCTTCTGACCAGTTGCTGAGAGGCTCGCTAGGCTGGAGGCCCTTCTTGCGCGCCAGAAGGAGGTTCTTGCTGCTTGCACGAAGCGCTACCAACGCACGGCTGGTCAGGGCTGGCACGCTTGGTTGACGGATAAACTTAGTCATGGAGCCCGCAATGCCCATTGTGCGTTCAAAGACCCCCTGTGCTGGAAGCCCACTACTACCCTCGTCGGAGGGTCAGGTCGTGTCTGATCCCCAACAGTTGCTTGACGCTGAGGTCAAAACGTACTCGGGCCTCTGGCAGGTCCGTGTTTCGCCCCCGAAGCTCAGGTGCAGAATCTCTGAGCCCCTTCCCCCCCTGGATGTGGAGTTCTTTCGGAAGCTGAGCAGGAAGCATCCCAAGAGGAGTGCTGTGTCCCACGACGGTTTTCACTTGAGGCATTTTCAGCACCTCAGTGATGCCAGCCTGGAGGTGTTCAGCTTGATCCTCTCGCTCGCTGAGCGCTCGGGCATTCTTCCGACCCGGCTCTCGGCAGTGCTGGTGGCTTTGTTGGCCAAGGAGAAGGGGGGTTTTCGGCCGATCGGCATTTCCCCCTCGGTGTACCGCCTCTGGGGGCGGGCCCGCAGGCCCCTGGCTGAGGCCTGGGAAACGCGTTTCTCCAGAGACTACTGGGCCGCTGGACGGCACAAAGGGGCTATGGATTGTGCGTGGCGCCAAGCCTTTAGGTCGGAAGCTGGTGTCAGACGAGGTGCCTGCTCAGCCACAGTTCTGTGGGACATGCATAACCACTATGAGCTGATCGACCTCGAGGCCTTGGAACTTAGAGGTCGCAGGCATCAATTTCCTCTGGGAGTCCTGCATATGTTTCTGGCGGCATATAAGTCGGCACGATACATCTGCCTCTCTGGCATCATCTCTGGCCCTCTGAGGGCCACTCATGGCATCGTCGCGGGCTGTAGCATGGCCACTTCCCTCATCCGTGTCCATGCCCTCGATGCCTTCGACGCCGTTCCTCGGTCTTTCAGCCTGCGCCGCATCGATCGGGAGTCCTCGGAGTTTTCCTCTTTCGACGCCTACATCGATGACTCTAGCATCTCGGCTATCGGTTCCAGGTCCTTCGCTAGAGCTACCATCCTGAACATGGCCTCCCTGCTGCTGGCGGGTATCAGGCAGATGTTAGGCGGCCGTGTCGCTCTCGACAAGGTTGCCCTAGTGTGCTCCTGTGGTGCCCTGGGCCAGCAGCTGGAGGCTGATCTTGGCCCCTTCGGCGCACTGGACACCTCCGCCATCAACCTCGGCTGCGACGACGCGGCTGGCAAGTGTTTCAGGACGGGCAAGGGGAGGATGAGGAAGCGCCAGGAGAGGAATATCAAGATGCAGCGCAAGGCTATTCGTTTGAAACGGTTTCGTTCTCACTTTGGGAGGAAAGCTATCAAGGTGTCCTCTGCTGGCCCGCTGCCTGGATACATTTATGGATGTGAAGTCCAGGGCCTCACGGACGGTGAGGTGCACAGTCTTCGGCGTGTGGCAGCCAGCTCCATCAAGCCAGATGCCGCTCGCAGATCGCTGACGGTGCTGTCGCTCATTGAAGGAGACCCTGTTTGGCACGGCTCGGTTGCGCCTGTGCTGCGCTACATCAAAGAGGTCTAGCTTCTCAGGACCAGTGCCTTTCCAGGTACCCTGGACTGGGCTACTATTCGGGCTTCCTGGGAAAGCGTTTTTTTCGCAGTTGTCAGCAATCTGTCACTTGGAGGAGCGTCACGGGTCCGATGAGTGCCATGTTCATGAGTCTCAGGAGGATTGGATGGGATATGAAGAACATGGTAGTTTCACTGATAATATGGGGCGAGAGCTCTCCTGTATGCAACTCTCGCCAGCGCTTTTCAAGGTTCTGCTGCGCCAGGCTGTGCTGCGCCAGCTCGGGCGAGCGGCCTACGGCAAGCTGGTGGACTGCGATCTCTTGTGTGGCGTCGGAGCTCCTCCGCCAGAGCCTGTCCAAGGCCTAGATGAGCCTGCTGCCGTGGAGTTGGCCCCCGATCGGGGGCCCCCCGACCTCGAAGGATCGAATCGCCTGTGCTTCGATGTCGTCACGGCTGGTCTCCGCTCGAAAAAAACTCTCGGCCTGGGAAAAAGGCTCCGTTCGTGCCCTCACCTGCAATGCCTTGTGGACCAACTCCCGTGCACTAAGGTATGGCTGCCAAGTGTGCCCTCTGTGCCCGCTGTGTCACACTAAGGTGGACTCTGTCTTTCATAGACTATGGGGGTGTGAGGTATGCATGGAGGAAAGGAAGGAGCTTGTGGATGAGGAGATTGTCTCTTGGGCCAGGGACGCGTGTGACCAAAACTCTGGGGACCTTGTGAACTTCTTGACGGGTGCCTTTGCGCATCCTGGCGACTATGTGCCGCAACCAGTCAGCCAGCAGGACTCGGACGCTGTCAAGATGGAGTTCTTCCAGGAAGGTTTCCAGGATTCAGGCTTGGAATTCCAGGGGCCCGAGAAAATTCGCTTTGAAGGCAGTATGTTCCTGGACGGCAGTTGTTTTCAGTCTAAGATTCGTGAATTGTCCAGAGCTGGCTGGGCTTTTGTGCTTTTGTCTGACCAGGGCCATCTCTTGGCCAGAGTGCTAGAGCCTGTCTGTTCCCACTTGCCGCAGTCATCACAGGCTGGTGAGTTCACGGCACTGGCTGCTGCTGGTGTTAATTTAGATGGGCCCGCGAATATTTTCTCTGATTGTGCGTCGGTTGTTTCTGTGTGTTCCAGGGCGCCTCGGGACCGCCTGGGGGGGCATAAGGCCTACGCGGGCTCGGTCCTGGAAGCCTTCGCGGGTGCTGGTCCTCTCCTCCAGGGCCTGGTCAAAGTCGCCGCGCACAAAGCTGTAGATGAAGAAGGAATTTCTGCTCAGGAGGCTTGGCGGAGGACGGGTAACTTTCATGCCGACCTCGCGGCTAAGCGGGGCGCAAATGTCCATCCCCAAGCCAACCCTGACGTTCTGTCACGCGTCGAGCGTGAGATCCGGATTTCGAAGGCTGTCATCCTCTTGGCAGCCAAGCTTTTGCCGCGCTGGCCGCGGCTCGACTTATCTGGCGTTCAATTCATCAAGCCCCAGGCCCCACCCGCTCAGACGTCGAAGACGCCCCACGAGTGGCGTTGGTCTGGGGAGCTTTGGCAGTGCAGCACGTGTCTGAGAGGCAAGCGAGGTCGGGCGCGCCCAGCGCCTGGCCACTGTGTAGTGCCTCCCCGCCTGTGCCCGAGCCTCCTTGAGCAGTTCAACCATCTTTGTGCGTTGTTGGACTGCACGGACGGCTCTTTCCTGTGTATCTCCCGTCGGTGCGGCTTTTACAGCACAGGCGGCCGCGTCAAGACGCTGGGTGAACCCTGTTCCTGTAAGAAGACAGGGGCAAGACTTACGGCCTGGAACTATGTAACCCAAGGCCGACACCCACAGCAGATCAAGAGGGAAAAAAACGTACAGTTTTTGCCCTCTCCCTGGACTGTGCTGTGAGGAGAGGTGGTCCCCACTCGTTGGGGGTCAAGCAGAAGTCGAGCGTTAAAACAAATCCGCCCCTCCTCCGCCTCCTCCGCTTCCTCCTCCGCCTCCTCCTCTTCCCTCCCCTGCCTCCGCCCCCTCCTCCGCCCCCTCCTCCTCCTGATGCTCTCCCTGTGTCCCCACCTCACGCGACGACGGCGACGACGACGACGACGACGACGACGACGGCGGTGACGACGACGACGACGACGACGACGACGACGACGACGACGACGACGACGACGACGACGACGACGACGACACTGCCAGCCCCCTGCCGTGGGCCCCTCCGTATCAAGTGGACCGTCGGGTGCGGCGCCCTATGCAGCCCGTTGTCGGCCAGGGGCTCGCCTCCCTGCTTTCGCAGGGCTGCGGTCGTCGTCGTCGTCGTCGTCGTCGTCGTCGTCGTCGTCGTCGTCGTCGTCGTCGTCGTCGTATTCGTCGTTGTCGTCGTCGTCGGGCGGGGGGGGGCAAACGGAGAAGTGGAGGGGAGAGAGGGAGGGAGGAGAGGGGAGATAGGAGTGGGGTACGGAACAGCTAGGACCGATCGCGACACAACTGGCATCCATACGCTCCCAACCTCCCCTCCCGCTGCGAAAAATCATGCTGCGCCGGCTGGCCTGGGTCCCCGAGTACCTCGATCCCCACATGGTAGTTGCACGAGTTGGCCCATCGCTAGCTGTGCAATCGGAACGGGTGGCCTTTTGTATACTGGGCGAGGAGGCGGACGAGCAGGAGGACGGAAAGGAGGAGCAGAAGGAAAAGGAGCAGGACGAGGAGGAGCAGCAGCATGACTAGGAGGAGCAAGAGGATCAGGGGAACACGGAGGAAGGACAGGGAGATGAACGGCAACATGGAAGACTGAACGGGATCCAAAAATGTGCCCTGCGCGGGTGGAGCGCTTGCGAACACCGCCACTGTGGCCTTCGGTGGAGCTCCCCATGGGGCAACGAAGCGCTGTACTGCGGGGGGGACGCATGCAAGCATCGACACTGGAGCCTTTGGTGGAGTCCCCATGGGGCCACCACGCGCTGTACTAGGTGGGGGAGACGCACGCGACCACCGCCACTGCGGCTTTCGGTTGAGTCCCCATGGGGCCACGACGCGTTGTATTGGGTGGGGAGACGCATGCGAGCACCGCAACTGGGACGCCTTCGGTGGAGCTTCCTGTGGGGTCACGAAACGCTGTGCTGGGTGAGGGAGGCGCATGCGAACAGCGCCACTAGGGCCTTCGGTGGAGCTCCGTATGAGGTCGCGAAGCGCTGTGCTGGGTGGGGGAGACGCATGCAAACACCACACTGAGGCCTTCGGTGGGGCTTCCTATGGGGCCATGAAGAGCAGCACTGGGTGGTGAAGCCGCACGCGCGCACCTCCACCGAGGCTTTTCGGTGGAGCTCCCTATGGGGCCACGGCACGTGTGAGGGGTGTGCCGGCAGGGTTGACGGGTGCGGAGGGCAGAGGCAGAGATGGGCGGAAGGAGAGGAGGGACGTGTTAAGGCCCAGTAAAGCGACCGGCGTGCTGACCCCCCCCCCCTCGCGACAGGAGGTGCGTCGCGCATTCGTCGCCCGTGCGCCGCCCGTGCGTCGGCCGCCGAAAAGGCCAGCCGTCCTCTCGAACGTGCACGTCCCTCAGGGACGGGAGGAAGGCGGAGAGGAGAGGGGGAGACGCGGGGCGCTGCCTCTGCAAACCGAGGACAGGATGGTTGGGAGAGAGTGCGTGTGACGGGTGGGTGAAGGGTGTGGCGCCGTCGGCGGAGAGAGGGGAGCCGCATAGAGAGTGGAGCGGAAGGGAGGCTGACGAGGACGATGATGATGGGGGGGAGGCAGGAAGGAGGGGAGGAGGGAGGAGGGAGAAGGGAGGAGAAGGACGGAGGGAGGAGAAGGAGGAGGAGGAGGATTACACCAGAGAGAACCCAATCAGTGGATGATTTGAAAACTGATACTACGGATCTTGAGATCGATTGTGAGGTCGAAAATGAGATCGATCGTGGAATCGATAGTGAAGAAGATTGTAAAGTCGATCGTGAGACATAGAGTGAAATCGATTCAATGAGATCGATACTGAGATCGATCGCGAGATCTCTCATGCGATCTCTAATGAGATCCCTTGTGGGATTGATAGTGGGATCGATTGTGAGACAGATAGTGAGATCGATCGAGACATCGGTAATGAGATCGATGGTGAGACCGATCGATAAGAAACTCGACCAAAAACCCGGAAACCCGGGAACCTCGCCGCCCTCCGAAAGTGGCCCGGGACCTGGAACCTGGAACCCGGGAGCCCAGCCTGCCACCAAAATCGGCGGGGAACTTTCGCCAAATCCTTCAACATCCGCTAGGACCCCTTTCAGTGCAAGCGCTGCTTGAGGAATGATGATGAGGATTCTCCTGGATTCTCCTATAACCTCCTGAGGGCCGAGCGTGCTTAGAGCCTCAGAGGATGGTGTACAGCATGTACGTCACGTACTCCACAAAGCACTGTGCACTGCAGAGCCACCAATGAACAATGAGTGATTGCCCACCAGTGTCGATAATCTTGCGCCCAAGCCAACTAGCCTAAGGCGAGCGCGCTCCTTCTCAGGCTATGCTGGCGCTGCGTGACCAAACGTACGCTGAAAAGTATACGAACACAGCCCAATCCAACGCATTGAAAGAGAAAGGTAAAGTGTAGGCACCAATAACAAAGCCATGCATGAGCCCTCAGGCGGGTGGGTCAGTGCACTACCAGGCTCCCCCCATCTCCTGAAAAACGGGCATTAGCACAGAAACGCGGGCCCGATGTACTGGGCGGCTTCCGTGAACGTGTACATCTAGGCGAACTGCCGAGTCGGTCATCTTCACCACCGCCACCCCGCAGCAGTTTAGACTCCTATGTCCCACTGTGGGCCCCCCCGTGCCTCGTCGACCGTCCGCATGCTGGCCTGCGCGTCGCCCGTCACGGACACGTGGGACTTCTTCTTGAGAGAGCACGGTAAAAGCAACACCTCCAGCCCATCGCATTCGCTGCCTCGCACCGCAAACGGCATTGCGAGACGCCCCCCCTGCACATTGCATCTGGCCCCCGCTGGCAGGGCCACTCCCAAGTTGGCCGGCGGACCTCGGGGCAAGGTCCCGGGCGGCACGGCCCCCCTCCCCGAGAGGAATGGCTAATGAGGAGGAGGAGGAGGAGGAGGAGGAGGAGGAGGAGGAGGAGGAGGAGCAGGGCGAGGAGGAGGAGGAGCTGGAGCTGGAAGCCTGCGCAGCTGGTGAGTCACGACCTCTAGGCACAGGGAGCTCGGCTCTGCTGTAGCAGAGGGTGGTGCTGCTGGGAAGTTCAGAAGCTTTGCAGCAGAGGGGACGCCTGCGGGACCCTTTAGCCGATGGAGCCCTGTGCCCGCTTCGGCGCAGAGCCGAACCCCCTCGAAAGCAACATCGATATGGAACGGGTGAAGGTTTATGGCACTCAGGCCATCGCCTCCAAGCTCGGGAAAGCAAATGTGAACATATCGTTCGTGCTCTCACCTACTTTGCTGGCTGCCGCGCAAACAGACTGATACAATCATTTCCATCCTACTCCCTCCCCCCTCGCCCACGCTTCCATCCACCCACGTCCGCTACCCTGATCGTCCCAGGACGAAGTACCGAATGCAATAGAAAATTGTCTCCTCGAGTTCACTATCGCCCCAGATCGGACGACCTAGCATATTAGGGAACTGTCCTCAAGCTACCTCACTGTCGTCCCAGGCCGAACGACCTCATGCATTAGAAAACTACCTCCGCGAGCTCATTATGGGCCCAGGTCGATCGAGATAAATCTTTGCAGAACCTCCTGAACTCTGACACTGCACATGCGTCTCACCACGGTCTACTGTGTTCTGCCGTGCTGTTCCGCTGCTCAGGCTGGGCTTGCAGCCATCCTCGCATGCAGAGCTGAGGAGGAGGAGGAGAAGGAGGAGGAGGGCGGGGAGGAGGTGGAGGAGGGTGAGGAGGAGGAGGAGGAGGAGGAGGAGGAGGAGGAGGAGGAAGGGAGGAGGAGGAGGGATGAGAGTCAGTGCGGAGCTCCCTCGAGCCCCCCCCTCCTGCCATCGCCCCTCGCTGCTGCTCCCGATCCTGTCCGGACCCCGCTGGCACATGTGAGCCGCCGCCGTCGTTTCATTTGTCCTCCTCGTCCTCGTCGCCGTCCTCGCTGTCGTCGTCATCGTCGTCTTCGTCGTCGTCGTCGTCAACGTGGTCGTCGTCGTCGTCGTCGTCGTCGTCGTCGTCGTCGTCGTTTCGGTCGTCGTCTGTCCCAATGCCTGCGCGGTCTCCAGCGTCGCTGTCGGGCCAGGGGGGGCCTTCAAGAAACGGTCGGGGATGAAAGACCAACCCAGGGGAAGGGGTAGGCGTGGTGTGGGTATCCCCGATGGTCCAAGCTAACCGCACACTCGAGGGGTCGCGAGGGGCACGGGCTGGAAAAAACACGACGTCGGAGGTCAGGGCTACCACTCCTGTGCGCGCGCGCGGGTGAACCTCGACGTCGGCAGCGCACGCAGGGGCGGGGGCGGCGAATGCGGTGATTCAGGCCCTCTCAGATAGGGTTCCCACAATGAACGTACGCGCCCAGCCGTGTGTGTGTGGATTCGGACACCCCTGTCCGTGAGGCCAGCCTCGTGCTACCAACGCTCGCGCATTGCCATGCTCTCGAACCCCGGGCAGATTCATGCACACGCACGTCTTATCGCTCTCTCCTGCCCAGACCCAGAGATCCGATGTCGTGATTTTTTCAATACGCGGTCCCCAGAAGTCTCGACCGATTCCCCAGGACCGGTTTTTCATCCTGGGTCGTTTTTTTACGGTCCCGAGGCCCTGCGAGGGCATCCAAGGGCCGAAATTTGTGAAAAACCTCCGCCTTGTTTTTTTCAATACGTTGGATCTCTGGGGAAGAGCCCCGAACCTGGCGCGCTCCCCACGCATCGCCGACCTGGGCAGCCCGCAGATGGACGGAGCCTTGGCCGAGGGCTCCGCCAGACGCCCCGGTGCGGACACGGCAGGCCCGCGCCGCAAGGGCAAAGGGGCGCACCGTCTCCCGAAGCGATCGCCGCGCTCCAAGGCCAGAGGAGGAGGAGTAGGAGGAGGAGGAGGAGGAGGAGGAGGAGGAGGAGCTCCGAACGGCTCGGGCAGTCAGTGCAGCTCAGTCAAGCTACAGCCGCAAGGAGCGCCGAGCACGGAACGAACCCCTCGTGGCCCCCCAAAACGCCTGGGTGCACGAGGAGCGCTAAGAGGAGCAGCCAGGGAATCATTATACCAGGAGGATGGAGGTTCACATAGAGACCAGGGGTCTTGCCGTGGTCCCTGGTCAACAAGAAAGGATCGAGGACAGTTTGGCGCTTCGTGGTTGGTATTCGCGGCTGTGCGGCTGCGTCTGAGTCGAACATGCGTTGCCGAACAATGCTGGCTGTTCCACCTACCTGCGCTTATCTGGGAGTGGGAAACCAATCCGACGTGGCGATCCAGCAATATGGAACCGAAGAGGCAAACGTGTCAACTTGACACTGGTGCTTTCGTTCAAGTTGAAACGTGTGTTTTTTCGATTGGATATCGTCCCTTTCTCAACGCCACAGCGCCAATGTCTCAACTTGTGAAGGTCTTTTGGGTGTCTTGCAATCAGCCGTTTTCGATTTTCAGGTCGTCTTTTCGCATTGAAGCGTCGGTCCCGGAGCGCCGCTGTCCTCTCTTGGTTGGGCGCCCGAGTTATCCGGGGTAACTCGGGTCAGGGGTAACGCGGGTTCGGAATCCCGAAAAGCGAACCCGAGTTAGCCCTGACCCGAGTTACCCCTGATGATTCGGGGCTCTGACTTGGGCCCATAAAGGAAGGACCCGAGGAAGGCACAGCGAGCCCCTTCCGAGCCCGAACTGCTCCTTACCTCCACGTCTCCGCCGTGCCGCCCCGCACGCCCGCGCTGGCGCCGCCGCGGCAGCAGGCGCAGCGCGCGCGCGGCCCCGGCTGCGGCGGGCGGCCCCCGCCCGCCCGCCTCCTCCGCCTTCAGCTGGCCCTCCTGCTCCTCCCGCTCCTTGCGCTCCAGTTCCCGCTGCTGCTGTTCGTCGTCGTCCTCCTCCTCCTCCTCCTCCTCCTCCTCCTTTTCACCCTGCTGAGCTCCCCATTTCCGATTGCGCATAACACGATGGGTTCTTAGTGGGATTTCCAGGTCCGCGATGACACACCCACGGATAGAGAAAAAACCGAGCAACAGGAGGCTCGCCTGCGCCAGGGCCCGCCTGCTCCGGTGCCCCGCCCGCTCGGCCCGCCCGCTGCGACGGCGCCAGCCGACGCTACCATGGGGCGAGAGGTGGAATTGAGAGGGCACACCAGCCCCCCACGATTGGCCGCCGGCTCGCCATCGCTCGGACGTCCATTTTCCCGTGCACTTTTCGGTCTCGTGCGCGTTTTTTTTTTGCTCGATGGTCCAGGATGGTCCTGGATGGTCCTCGCCGAGAAAAAAATGCACACGTCCGAGCGATGCCAGGCCGCAGGGGAGGCGGACGGCGGGGGGAGGTCGATCCCGCTGCGCTCGCCCCGCCCGAGGGGGGCCCGCGGCCGCTGGACGCGGCCGTCCGGGCCCCGCCGCAGGCGAGGCGGCCCGCCGGCCAAGGGTTCATTGCGCCCAGCCTCGGGGGCCGATGGGGTCGGACGTTCGCTTGGAGACTGGCACGGGCACGGGCGTTGCTACAGGGCAGTTTTTAATACATCGGAATTTTTTTAACAGAAGAAAATGCAGGATTCTTAAACACAGGATTCATTCAGGAATAAGTTCATGCATGAACTCATCGTTGTTTTTAGCACTACATCCCTGCATGTTTAATACATGATCCGCTCGCGGAGCATGTATTAAAAACGGCACTGTACATTCCTGCTGGGCCTCGGGAAGCCTCCCGAGGCCCCCGGGGGGCTCCTGACGAGTTCTGAGATGGGGTGGGTGGGACGGGGGGGGGGGAACTCATGACCTGCTCCCGATGGTTTTCTTCTTCTTCTTCCTCCTCCTCCTCCTCCTCCTCCGCCTCCTCCTCCGCCTCCTCGCAAGACCTTCAGCACCACCAAACACCTCCTTTAACAAGCTCCTTCCTGTCGCGAAAACCTGCGCCCCCCCAGGGGCACTGGTCACAGCTGGTGGCAATATCCAGTCGTACGGGACCTTGGCTGGAGGAGGGGGATGATGACGATGATGAATGATGAATGGTGATGATGACGATTGTGATGGTGGTGATGGTGGTGATGGCGATTGAGATGGTAGTGATGATGGTTATTGTGGTTATGTCGATGATGGCTTCGATGATCACGATCTGATGATGAGGGGAAGACACGTTGCGATTAAGCTAGCGATGAGTAGCCAGAGTGAAACGTAGGAGGAAGAGGAGGCAGAAGAGGAGTAGGAGGAGGATGATGGGGAGGAGCGAACGAACCTGCGGCGAATGGTGATGATGATGATGATGATGATGATGATGATGATGATGATGATGATGATGATGATGATGATGATGATGTTGATGTTGACGATGATGATGGTGATGATGATGTTGATGATGATGACGCTGATGATGATGACGACGATGCTGATGCTGATGCTGATGCTGATGCTGATGCTGATGCTGATGATGATGATGATGATGATGATGATGATGATGATGATGATGATGATGATGCTGATGCTGATGCTGATGCTGATGCTGATGCTGATGCTGATGCTGATGCTGATGTTGATGATGGTGATGCCGGTGATGACGACGAGGAGGAGGAGGAGTAAAAGGAAGGAGGGACGAGGGAGGAGCGCCGAGGGAGGGACGAGGAAGACGACCAGGACGACGAGGAGGACCAAAAAGCACGGCAGGGAAGCGGCCCCTGCCCCTTGGGAACGCGGGCCCTGCCCTCGGGCGGGACCGAGCGGCCCCTGGCCCCGCCCGCCTCGGGGGAGGCCAGGCGCGCTCGCCAGCGAGCGCGGGGGGGAGGGTAAGGGGGACGGCCGCGCGAGGGCCTCCTCCTCCTCCTCCTCCTCCCTCCTCCTCCTCCTCCTCC